CACTCATAGCCACAAATTGCCGGAAACGTATATACGAGTAATTAACGATATCTAATTACTAGCGTAACTGGTGTCAATATAGGTTCCTTGGGTTCTGGACCCCCTGGCAAAATAATCAATCCGCGTGACTGAATTCGATAGCCGGCACGCAATGAACACGGTATTGCCAAACTACCCACGAATAAATGACTATTTATTCCCCGAAGGCGAATTACAAACCCTTCCTGTTAACCAGTCGCGCAATGCCAACATCTCGGTACGGACGCTTGCGGGGAAGAATAGCAATCAGCCAACGTTGCAATAATCCTCGTTTAATAGCGTCTTATTCTAAGAGTCATGCACATTCATCGACGACCAAATCTCCCCCTGTCGTCACGACTGAGCCTAAAAGCACTTCTAAAAAGGGATAAAGCTGCTTATAGTACCCCGGTCCAGATAGATAAAAGACCGAACACGCATCCTAAATCGGTATTCCAACTGACACTCAGGAAAAGGCACGTCGGTACTCCAAGGTATTTTTTGTCAGAAATACTGCGATGATTTCTCTCTGAAGGAGTATCGCGACTGTGCAGTGCGGCATAAAATTGGCTCCCATTTATGGTAATTGCAATCACGCTTCGGCCGGGCGTTAATATCAGGCAGTGAAATATCCTTCGTCTTTATCTTCGAACGTGATCATATTACGGCTTGTATTGAAGGAAAATGAAAAGGTTCCAATTAATTTAAAAATGCCTAATATGCCAACAATATCAACGTTATATATGAAGTTCACAAACCTCAAGCGGAAATAGCATTCTTGAACTCATCACTTTGCTAAAATCTACAAATATTCAAATTCCATACAATACCAACTTATTTAATAAAAAGAAACAAACGAAAAATGATCATGAACCACAAACAAATCAATATTCATAAAAACGATGTCGAATTGAACCAATTGCGACTACTAGAAAATCCCCAACGATGTATGACAACATTTAAAGGGCGGCAGTCGTCGTGCCGCGTCCTGTTCGATATGGGACTCATAGCGACGTATACAACGCGTGTAAAATACATTATTTATTTACATGAAATTCGAACACGCGCTGCGCGACGACCACGGCGCTTTAAAAAAAAAAGTGAAAACAACCACCCTTTGCACAGTTCACATGCATGTACGTTATCAGTTTTAACATGACTAAAATCATTTAAAAAAAATAAAATATGATCCTGAGCCATGATTTAGGATAATCTTTATTTATGACGCACGTCCATTATTATGTATTATCTAGGATTATAAATAACATAGGCATGCTATAGTGTTTACTGCGTACATATTTATAACATTTCACACGGGAGACCTCATTCCAGAAAACGGCAATGACCGACATTTCAGTTATTCCGAATAGCCATAGTAAAAAAGAAAATCTTATTCAGCGCAATGAAGCGAGACCCACTTTACCAGCGCTGTAGTTTTACGTATACTAATAGTCCCATTGCTAATGCAATGTACTTAAATTACTCTTATTGGCATATATCAAATTAACTTTTATTAAAATAATACCTCATTATATCATGTGATATTCTATCTCAAGCTTTTTGAGTATTGTGCGTGGTTTGGTAAACTATGCATTTCTTATCGTCTCTCTCTGTTCTTGATTTGCACCAAATGCCATTTGTTATTGATTAATAAATTATACGTATCGACGTTATTTTATCTTTCTTTTTCTTTCAAAACACGCTGTACATACCCAGGTAGTCTGTATTGCTACACGCCTGTTACATACCGACAGTCTATTATTTCTTTATAGTTACGATGAGGTTCGTACTGGCGGCATAATAATGAAGACATGTTCTAATTGTAATTCAAATCATGTCCTATGATGGCTATTTAGGTTATTCGTGGACGATCGAAACATCTTCGGATAAAATATTGACTTTATATAATGTGTTATCGAACTCACACGCATTTATCCAATGCAGAGCATACAATCTTTTACACCAAGTAACTATGGCAACCATAAGCGGAAAATACAAATTGACTAATACGTGTAATGATAATATACAATTTTATAGTAACCTCTAAAACACTTGTGCGCATGTGTTAAATTTTGTAACATAGAATTAATTATCCTTTTTCTAATTAACTTGCACCAGTCGTGTACATTATATTTTATATACCAATTAGACCTATTAAGTATAGGTGTTGATCTACGAGATTGTCTACATTATATCTTATTTGCTTCTCAAAAAAAAGACTACTGTAGACGTCCAAACTACTACTTTTGTGACTATATATCAAGGCAAAGCAGACTTATGTAGGTATGTTTTGTATAAATGTAGACACCCTTATATCTGTCTAAAAGCAACAGTTGATTTGCTTTGTATGCAGTGATTAAATCTTATTTTAAATTGGAAATTTAATACAAAAAACATTTTGATATTTACAAAGCCACTGAGAAATACAAATAATTCTAAGACCGTTCTGTTTGTGCTACAAAACCCAGTACAAAAAAGCCACGGTTACAAAACTCGTCATATGGTTTCTAAATTGAGTAAACTGTTAACTCAAAATAAACCGTTTGACATGCCCTCAAGTATACTGATGACATTCCCCACAAATAACATTAACAGTGCAAGTCATGTTTGCATTTATGATTTTCAAATAAGATTCCTATATTTCGAAAAACAAAACAAAAACACAAGCCCAGCATGTCCTATCCAAATTATAATAGACGACAAATGTATATACATTTTCAGTAGAATAACCCTTATACTGTCAATGTGATACATGTGGACATATGTAAATGAGTATGTAAATGAGCTTATGTAAATGCCATACTACAGTAGAACTACATACAAATATATTAGATCGACACGTTTGGCAATCCATATTCTGGTATTTAGCATTACGTTTATTTTGACTCAACTGCATGAATTGAAACATCTGGAAACCTGACAATAAATTACATGTGTATTGCTTTACACAAATAATTGAAACAATTGCACATTTTCTTCTTTTTATTGGATGTTAAAACACTATGCAAAATAAACATGATTATAAAAAACAAACTTTAAATGCTAAATTCCCTTTCAAAATTATAAATATCTATTATTAATATCATAAGCACCTTATTTCTGGAAAATATCTAAAATTATTTAAACTCTGCCTTTTTGTGTATATACCCATAAATAAATACATCAAGTCTCTGCCCTCATACATCGCCTTAATAATTCGTAGTGTATCATCACTGCTTTTGTCGATATAATATAGGTTTACTTCCACAAAAAGTTATCCATGATTATCAAAACTTTCGATGCAAATATATAAATTTGGCAAAGTGTCATTAAACACATTGATAACGCATTAACAATAATACACTGCACAAACCAAAAATAGAAACAGCAATATATAATATACATTATATATAAATATCTTCACATCAGCTGATGAAAGGCAGATTCAATTCGTATACACACAAATACATTATAGCCTATGTACATATACAAGGTGAGATATCAATTGAAACCATTCAAAACTCAAAAATAGTCATAACAAGAGGGTGCAACTCGTCAGGATACAAGCAAATTTACTTATTTAGTGTACTCACATTATTTCTACTGCTACCAGTCTTAAAGCACTTACAACTACAATAACTTTACTTGAAAAAAACAACATGAATATTAACATGCATTGATGTACTTGTGCATAAAAAAACAAAAAACAAAAACAAACAAAAAACAGTCAAGTAAAAAAAAAGGCAATCTTGACGGTATTGGCACATCTAACAGTTTGATTATGTAACATAGTAATAAAGCAAACACAATACACAAAAATGTGTACACCTACAAATTTGATTGTTGATGATGCACTATGTTAGCAATATAATCAGTGTGCAGTAATTACCACATATCTGTAGTAGTTTTGATTATATGAATGACTCAATATGACAGTCACGCCGAGAAGTCTAGCTTTTGGGTGCTACTCTACCTATGCAATAATGGAACTGTCCGCATGGGATAGACAAACTGCATATCAAGGATAGATGAACAGTCTACCAGGATAAGATGGTTGATTCATATTCCAGGGATATATAAATCGAGTTTGAGAGATGTGTTTAATTAGGGGATAAAAATGTATATGAAATTAATAAATATACAAAGTCAATCTGAATATGCACTTCAATAATTTAAATAACTGCTATATATTTGTTATCTATTTGTTTTTTTAAACTTATTGCAATGTTTACAATTGTTGCAGTTTTTCTTTACATTTAGCGTATGTAACATTATGAATTAATTTTTATTGAAATATGCGCAAATGAGAATTGAAATATCCTATCCTATAAATGAAATTTATGAACTTAGATCCCGTTCATCTGAATATATCCTATTATTCATAATTAATCTAATGAAACCAAACTAATCAAGGCTTCTGTCAAATATTAAAACAGTTGACACTAATACATTTTAAGAATGTCACAGGTAGATGAAAAGCTTTCAATTTCAATATAAATTCAATTGAATAATAATATTTTCTGTTAATGTTTAATAATTTAATTAGGCAATTGCAACGAACGCTGCGTGTCAATAAAATGATTTAAACGTCAGAAAAACAAATTATGAATGTCTTCAGTTTTCATTTCTTCCTCACCATGTCCATTACCATTGGATGAAATGAAAGCTAAATTACTCCGTCCAGAGATCGGATCTCCCCCATCATTTGTCATCACAAGCTTTTCCTTATCATCTTTTCCTTTGACTGCACTGCGTCCTTTGCATGCAGAGCGAGAAAGTTTAATGAACCACTATTTTTTTAACATATATTTTAAACTGTATAATCATTGCAACTAACTACGTTCACATGCAGAGCAAGTAAAACGAACATACCTACATAAGGAAATAAGCCACCTGACTAAGATGGAAAGAACAAATCATAGTTTCTTAAAATTTTGGAAATGTTTAAATGCTTATACACACAAGACAAGATTCGATTGTTTCTTCATTCAACCATTTAAAAATATAAACAGACTACATGCAAGATTGTCAATAAAATACGTTTGTATTCTATTTCCAACAGATTGAAAGATTCAAGCATTAAAGAACACAATCAACTCATTCACATGAGATTCAACTATAAAAAACAAAATGCTTGTTCCAGATGCTAATGAATTTGGTTTTCGTTTATTCACTTTTTAATTTGCCGTCTTTTGGTGTTTCTGCGCTATCCTCTTTGACTTTCATTTCCTGATATGTCTTGAATAACATAGCATACTCTGGTTTCTTCTGTGCGTACATTTTGAACTCATCTGAAAGAGTACAGTTAAATCTTAGTA